TTTCTGTCATGATTATTTATTAGGGAATAAAATTCTGTATCAATTTCATTGGCCAAATTATGCACACGAGTTGTTGGGATGAATACGAAGTTAGATGAAGAACTTGAGGCAGAATTTGATAAAATTGATACGAAACATGGAGGGTATATCCTCTTTGAAGAGGTAAGGTGAAATATCTGTGCACTCGAAGTTAATCATTATATCAAACTTTTGCTTTATTTCTTCGTTTCCAAAAAAAATTGAATGATGGAAAGAAGTTGACATAATTTGTTTTATTACAAGTACGGGATTAAATGAGTAATAATTATAATATATTATTATTATATATTGGTATATTATACTTATATTTATAATTATAAATATTAATCATACAAGTAATATATAATTATAATATATTTAAAGCTTTGGGAAAACATATCGTCACTTGATATAATTATATCTTTACATGTTATTGTATATAAATATGTCCTATTGTTTGAAAAAAGTTCTTAAAATATGGAATATTACATTTATTGACCACACACGCCCCCATATGTTTTGAAAAATCCAATTTTGAGTTAATATCCAGATTATAATCAAGGTAACATATAATTTTGATAAAAGCTTTTGCTGAATCAAAGGTTGGAACCGATTAAAATAGGTTACAATGTTAGATATCACTTAATTCGCAATGGAAATGTATTGGCCTTGAAAATTTGGAATAATTGTTTCGTTATACTAGTATTACATCATCTTTTAAAGCGATGATGTTTTTGTCAATCACAAATTCTTTACCACATTTTGGTACTAAATAATGTTTGCAACAAGTTATTCATTGGCACTCTATGAAATCTTTCAAATTCATAGACATTTTTAAAAGCTCATTGGCTATTCTAGCAACTAAATCATTAAACTTACTATTTAACTTGTTTAATTTCTTAACATCGTCATTACTGCCAGAAATTTTGATATGTGACTCTTTGAATGTCGAAAAGCTTCAAGTAGACCAACAATAGTTTTTTGCAAAACATCAAGATCAGAAAATATTATATTTTCATATTATTTTAATTCAATCAAAGCCAATTTGTAGTGTTTTTTTTTTAATAACTGTTTGAAGATGAGAAAAATTTTCTTTCTTTACGTTGCACACGGCTATGACTTGTCATTATTTCCAAAATCGGTCAAATTCCCACAAATTTAATATTAATCGTTTTTTACAGAACTAAAAAAAAAAATCCTTTAATTAAAAAATTAAAAATGACGATACAGGAAATTTCAGATCCTCCTAAAATAAAAAGTTTATCTTTCCCAATTAAAAATACATTCAAATTATTTAGAAATGCTTGTAATGTGACTTTGGATTTTGAGAATAAATATTTTGAAAACAAAATTGAGTTGATTAAAAATCGTAGAGAGGAATTCCAGTCAATTGCTAATGGCACAATTCAACAATCTGACGAATTGGCTAAATTTGGTGGAGATTTAATGGTCCTTATTAAACATTGTGGTGACAAAGCTGCTTCTAAAGAAGATATATTAAATTATTTGAATAGACTTTTAAATGATGCTACAACTAATAAAATTGCAATAAAAGAAACCAACTCCAAAATTATAACTCTCAAGTATAGGATGATAAAGATTCATAATGAATTAGCAGAATTTGATTTTGAAAAGATGAAAAATATTGATCCTACAACATACGACAACTTAAACGATACTGAATCTAAAAAAAAGTTTTTAAATAAATGGTCAAAAATCGCTTTTATTATAGGCGGAATTTGTCTAACAATTTCTGTACCTCCAGCAGCAATAGTAATAGCACCAGGATATTCAACAGCAGGAGTAGTAGCAATAGTAGCAATGTTTGGGGAAGCAGTAGGAACAATGGTAGTAGGAGGGACAACTTTATGCATTGCTAAATATAAAGAAAAAAAAGCTGTTAAATTACATGAAACTCTAAGTACAAGACAAGAACAAATGACCAAAAAATCAAAAATTTTACAAAAAAATGTTTCCTCAATAAGTCAAAGTTTAAATAATCTTAAAAATTTTTGGGAGACTCAGATTGCTCAATTAGAAAATCTTATTGTGGAATTTAATAGTTTAAATGAACAGAGATCTCCTCCTAACATATTAATTATTGAACGCTTGGAAGAACGATGGAAGAAAACAATCAAAGAATGTAAAGAGTATTCTAACATTACAGGAAAGGAATTAGAGGATGATGTGAATGATATGAATGATATGAATAATCAAAAATAGCTAATTGTATGTGAGTGGTGTCACTTTTAAAAATATTATTTGTTTTATCTTTATTTCTTTCACTTATTATGTAACATCTCTCATAAAATTTTTTTATATATTTAAAAGACATTTTAGGTTTTAAATCTTATTATTATACTTTGTTGTTACATTATGTATAAGATATTGGGCGCGCAGTGGCCAATATCATGACATCCTGGATGTCACTGAAATTGTCCATTGCACGCCCAATATCGATATTATCAGGCCATCACTATTAAGCTATTCTTTCAAACGTCACTGTTTATCAAGTTTAATTATATGATTTAATTATATCTTATAGAAATGTTGTATAAAATAGTATATCAATCATATTGGCATCATTTTGCACCTAAAATAACAAAATAACTTAATAGTGCTGTTTGCCCGATAACATTTAAATAAATATTAATGTTGTATGTGAAATCGAAATAATATATATATATATAATTAATGTTTTGGGGTAGGGTATTCGGGTATGAAATTCTGATTGGCTAATTTGAATTTCACGTCATGAATTGCAAATTTCACATAATTTCATTTTCACGCACAACAACAACATTAACAAAGTATTTAAGAAAATGTCAAAAGTGTCACACAAGATTGGCCAATGAAATTAATACAGGTGTTGCTGAAATTAGACTTTGACGCAGATATTTTGGACGAATCTCATAATTCCGGGTCAATTTAAATTTTATTTCTATTTCTATTTTTATTTTTAGGGTCTGATTAATTTCGTCGAAAGTTCGTTTCGTCGAAAGTATGTTTCATTGAAAGTTCATTTCGTCGAAAGTTCATTTCATCGAAGATTATTTCGTCACAAAAAAAACTTCATTAAACAAATTTCTCCTCACACTTCCAACACACTCCGCTTTCCTCACCTAATTTCTTAACTAACTTCCCACACTCCTCACATCCAACTCTTTCGATCTCTGGCTTGAGGATGAATAATTTTCGACGAAATGAACATTCGACGAAATGAACTTTCGATGACGAAGTAAACGCGACCGAGAGCAAACAATTCTTTGGATGTTGAAGTTAATGACGAAGTTTTTGATGAAGTGACATTAACTTATAAGGCATTGAAATAATGTTTGAAGGTTTTACGTATGATCTTTAAAAACTCAGCCACTGAAATTAGATACATTGATAACGAAACAACAACAATACCAAGAAATTTTATTATGAAATCATAAACATACAACATAAGTGACTTAAAAGTATGTATATATGATTAGTCTAAAATTAATCTAAACGTATAAAAGAATTTTTAAAAGCACTATCATTTAACATCTGATGAAATTCTTTGCAGTTGATCTCTTCAGCTGTACACCTCTCAATGATTCCAGCTGTTAAATTTTTAGGTAAACTAAGATTCACATTTCCATCCATCGATCGCAATGCATTGATATGCGACTCAAAAATATCATATTGTTGCTTCCAAAATTGTATCAATGTCTCTAAATGTGTTAAAATTACTGGCAATTTTGTTGATATTTTTTCTTCATATTTCCGAATTTTTTTTTGTTCCCTTTCATCATTTATTATAGTGATGCTGTTCTTCCTATTAAGTCCAGTTAAATGGTTCCATTTCCTAGATAATCTTTTATGGTAATAAGCACAATATCCAAAAGTGACGACAAGAACAATAATATTTTTTAAAAAATCCATTTCTGGTAAAATCCAGGATAGCAAAGAATATGTTGAGACAGGGGTGAATACAAGCATAAAAACTTCTGGTAAAAATTGAGCTAATGCATTCAGAAAATTTGGAGGTTGGCTACCATCTGTAATTTGTAATAATTGATTTCGTTGTACTAGCCCCACATCACTATCACCAAAACTTTTCGGTGATTGACTAATGTTTTCAGCGATGGATGTTTTAAATTGTTCAAAGTCATTTTTTAATTCCTCAGAGTCACTAATTCTCTGCTTTGCCATATCATTTAGTACTAATAATGTTTGCAACAAATCATTGGAAGTAACATTATCTTCTGTAAGCATCTTAAAGTATTCTGTGAAATCCTCCAAATCCATTGACTTTTTTAAAGACCCTTTGGCTATTCTAACAACCAAATCATTAAACTTACTACTTGACTTATCTAATTTCTTGACATCATTATTCCTGCCAGAAATTTTGATATGTGATTCTTTTAAATGTCGAAAAGCTTCAAGTATATCAACAATGGCCTTTTGCGAAACATCAAGATTAGGAAACATTACATCTTTATATTGATTTAATTCAATCGAAGCCATTGATGTGATGTATTTCTTCTTAATGACTGTTTGATGATGATAAAAAATTTTCTTATTTATGTTGCACACACTATTCCCTATTACTATCATTGTCATTGCTTCCAAAATCGGCTAGATTTTCGTTAAATTCTTAAAACGAAAATTCCCATGCTTTTTTTTACCTTTATAAAAAAAACCTGAAAATGACGATAAACGAGCTTTCAAATCCTCCTAACATAAAAATTTTATCTGACCAAATTAAAAGGGCATTCATATTATTTGGAAATGTTTGTAATATGACTTTGGATTTTAAGGATGAATATTTTGAAAACAAAATTGTGCAAATTAAAAATTGTAGAGGGACATTCCGTTCAATTGCTAACGACACAGTTGTGCAATCTGACAATTTAGTTGGATTTGGTGGAGATATAATGGTCCTCCTTAAAGATTATAGTGATAAGGAGGTTCCTAACGAAGATATATTGGGTTTATTGGATAAACTTTTAAATGATGCTAAAACTAATGTGATTGCAATAGAAAATACCAACTTCAAAATTAAAACTCTTGAAGATGACATGAAAAAGATTCATGATGAATTATTAAAATTCGGGAAAAAGGTTGATCCTACAATATACAATAACTTAAAAGATGCTGAATCTAAAAAAAAACTTTTAGATATAGTGACAACAGCCGCTTTTACGATAGGTGGAATTGGTCTATTTATCATCATACCTGGAGCAATAGTAGTGACGAGATTAGCATCAGCAGCAGTAGGAGCAAAAGTAGCAGTAGGAGCAGGAGTAGTAGGAGTATCAGGAATAGGGGCAGGAGTAACCACCTCGTACATTGCTGAAAGTAAAGGAAAAGAAGTTGCCATATTACGGGAACCTGTACAAATGACTGATAAATCAAAAACTTTAAAAAATAATGTTTTCTCGATAATTACATTTTTAAATGAGCTTAAAGGATTCTGGGAGAAACATATTGTTGAATTAGAAAGGCTTATTGAGACATTAAAAAGTTTAAGTGAGAATAATAGACCTCATCCTAACAGATCAATAATCAAATGTTTGGAAAACCGATGGAAGAAAACAATTAAAGAATGTAAACATTACTCTAATGTCACAAGATATGAATTAGATCGTCTTTAAAAAATATTATATATTTGTTTTATCTTTATTTCCTTCTCTTATCACGCTTGATTTTATGTGACATCTCAGAAATTTCATTTGGAAATTTAGAAGATATATTTTAGGATTTTAAATTTTATTATAATGCTTTGTCATTACATTATCATTTAAATAAAGTATCAGATGTGTTTTTAAATCCATTACGAAACTAAAAATAATCCTAAAGCCAACAACTCGTGTGCATAATTTGGCCAATGAAATTGATACAGAATTTTATTCCCTAATAAATAATCATGACAGAAAAACTAGACAAAGCTCAGATTAAGAAGGTAATTAACATTTTTTTGTTTTTGAAACGTTAAATCTATATGATACATTATATTTCATACGAATATGAATACGAAT